TATTCCTGTTTTTAGATTTTGGGGAAGACTCTCACAAAACTTCCAGTAGAGTTAACTTATTCATATGAACATTTATTTCTCAGCACTTAAAGGAACAGATCTGGTGCCAAATTCTCTTTCATTCAATCAATAAGTCACATGTATCTCAAGATAAAAAAAAAAAAAAACCTGCAGGAAGAAAGGACAGTTGTGTTCATTTAAGATGGATTTCAGTTACAAATACATCGAAATTTAATCCAAATTTTAATACAGACATTATTCTAATCAACTACATACTAATAATTTTGATAACTCATTGTGTCAACTTGAATTAAAAAACGCCCAACTAAATTGGATCAGCATAGTTCTAAGTATGGCTGAAGGGGTATACCGAAGACAGAAGACTCATCCTGGGCATAAGTGAAGACAATCAATAGGCCTGTCACCTGAATACAATAAAAGGGACTCAAATAAGGAAGGTTTATTTCTGTTTTTTCAGAGGTGCTCCAGTCTTCACCTTCACTTTGGCATTATCTCCTGGCTTCCAGCAAAAACCCTTCGGCCTCCTGATACAGACTCACATGGACACTACAGTGAGCTCCAGGCCTTTGACTGGATCTTTTGGATCTTTAGTGCACAGAAAGAACTTTTGCACTTTTCTACACCCAACTTCTGGGGTGGCCCCTGTAAGCCAACCATGTAAATTCTTATATATTTGTATATCTTACATTAAATCTGTTTCTCTACTAGGCACTGTTACAGATTTTGGTACGGGGGATAGCTCTAGAGAAATAGAATTGTAAAGGTGAAATTCTTTAACTGCTTTCATGCAGTGGTTGTGAACCTTTCAGAGCTTTCAATGATACAAACAGCCCACTGCATGCATGCTGTAAGTTCACCTGGAGTTGGCTCTCTAATCTGAGGAGACCTGAAGACACCACGGTCTCTTCTTATACTCTGGGGAATACTGATAGACCTTGGCATGAACTTTTAAAGTAATGTATGCTGTAGATAAATTTGATTATCCTAATTCACTCCTTATGAGATGTAAATAATTTAGTGACTATGTATTTTTGAACATTTTGGCAGAGCGGGAAATATAATGATGCTGGCTGGTTGCTCTTAGCATCTCTGGACAAACTCGTGAAGAAAAACAATGAGTTCAAAACATCCATGAGAAATCTAAAGTCTTCTGTTAGGACAAATAAAGGAAAATAAGGAGCTCAAATTCCCAGCTCCAGATACACAAAGAATTTAAAACTTTCTAAAAAAAAAAAAAAAAAACTTTCTAAATATGTCCTAAAAGAGAATCTCTTCTCCTTTAGCGGTAGCACTGAAATTACAGAAACCCAAACACAGGCCCTCATAATATGACTGGCTGAAATACAATGTAAGTTTAATGCTCAGCCTCAAAGGATATCTGAAGGTGAGGGCACTGATCAGAAAAGAATGGGATCCCTTAAACTGGGATGGAAACGTGTGGGAGGATCCTGACAAGGCTAAGGATGCTAAGCTCCTAGACACTAATGAGATTATTTTGCCAGAGAAAGAGATTTCCCAACCCACAGTGGTGGAAAGGCATCTCCACCCCCAACCCCTGTGGTGCTGGCCTTTCCTACTATACCTGAGGAAACCAATCCTATGTTGACCAAGCATGATAATGCTGACACTCCTCAGGACCCACCCTCACCACTCATTTTTTTGCCTCTGACCAAGGAACACACTTTACAGCCAAAGAAGCAAGGCAATAGGCTTATGCTCATGGAATTCACTTGTATTTCCATGTTCCCCACCATTCAGAAGCAGCTGAGTTGACAGAAAAGGTGAATGGTCTTCTGAAGACACAGTTACAGCACCAGCTACATGGCAATACTTGCAGGGCTGAGGCAAGGTTCTTCAAAAGGCTGCATGTGCTTTGAATCAACATATACCGTATGATACTGTGTCTCTAATAGCCAGGATTCTTGGGTCCAAGAATCAAGGAGTAAAAGTAGGAGTAGTACCACTCACCATTACCCCTAGTGATTCACTAACAAAATTTTTGCTTCCTGTTCCCTCAACCTTATGCTCTGCTAGCTCAGAAGTCTTAGCTCCAAAGGGGAGAAGGCTTGTATCAGGAAGCACAACAATGATACCACTGAACTAGAAGCTAAGACTTCCCTCAGTCTTTCTCCTTGGTCATTTTGGTCTCCTCATGCCTCTGAGTATACAAGCTAAAAAGGGAGTTACAGTGCTGGCAGGAGTGACCGACCAAGACTTATCAAGGGGAAATCGGACTAATGCTCCACAATGGAGGAAAGGAAGACGACGCTTGGAGTGCCAGAGATCCTTTGGAGCTCTGCCTAGTATTACCATGCCCTGTTATTAAGGTCAGTGGGAAACTACAACAACCCAACTCAGATAGTATGACAAATGGCTCAGAACCTTCAGGAATGAAGGTATGGGTCACTCCTCCAGGGAAAGAACCAAGACCTGCCGAGGTGCTTGCTGAAGGCCAAGGAAATACAGAAATGAATAGGAGAGGAAGGTAGTTCTAAATGTCAGCTATGATCCCATGATCAGTTACAGACGACTGTAACTGTAATAGTTTTCTCCTAATACACTTCCCATGTAATATAATGTTAACAGACTTAGTTATTTGTTCTTAAGTACCATTAAACCTATGCTATAACGTTCAAGTCACCCAAAGAAAACTTGCTTTCTATTCTGGGAGGGAATCAGTGTGTTTCCACTTGTATGTAGCATAGCTGTAACATGTTAGGCATAATTATGAACTTGCTTTATGGAGACTATGGTTTAAGGAAGTGTGTATGGATGCCAAACTGACACAACAAGGGTTATGATACTGCAACTAATTGACTGTGTCAACCTAGGTGAGAAAAACCCAACTAAAAAGGATCAGTATGGTTCTAGTGTGGCTAAAGAGATTTACTAAAGACAGAAGACCCACCCTGAGTGTGACACCAACCAATAGGCTTGTCACCTGAACAGAATAAAAGGGACTCAAATAAGGAAGGCTTGCTTCTGTTTCTTTGAAGGAACTCCAGTCTTCATCTTCACCTTGGACACGGTGTCCTGGCATTCAGCGCAGACTCTTCAGCCTTCTGATTCGGACTCACGCAGGACACTACAGTGAACTCCAGGCCTTTTGCACTCTTCCACACCTAATTCTACAGACGGCCACTGTAAGCCAATCTTATAAATTCTTACATATTTGAATATCTTGCGTTCTGTTTCTCTAGTAAGAACTAATACATAGTAATTACAAAAATAAATCAGAAGACTTTAATAATTACAGCCTTGAGATTACATGAAAAAGAATTTTAGCTTCAATTTATATTAGTGTTGCAAATAAGTTTAAAAGACAATTGATGAAAGACTGAAATCATAAACATATATAAGGATAAAATTCAAGGACAGTAACAGAAAGGACATACAAGTTTGAAGATAATTAAAATTTCCAACCATTTAGGAGATTTATTTTTATATTTTTAAATTAAAAACAACATTTAGACTCTATTAGGTAAGTTTAAAAGTGATATATTTGATTGAAATATTACAATATCCCAGGAGTTTCACTTTTCTGATAACCATTTATAGTTCTGGTTAAAGAATGTTGCTAAACTTTAACTGAAATATTGCAGTTTTCAATCAAAATATCTGCAAAGGCATACACAGTTTCTGCAAAGTGTTCTAGGCGACACTGAAATAAAATGCTTAAAGATCATTGTTCTATACAGGCACTTAGTTAGGAGTAAGTCATCCATGTACGAGGAAACTATATAACAGAGCAGAAAAAACATGAAACTCCAATACTGGTCTCCCTCAAGAGACTGACAGTGTTACAGGGATGCACTTTTTCTGGGTAGTCCCACCAAAACTACTGTAAATAACAGCAAATTTTAATACTTGTTTACTACATAGGGGACTGGTTGAATGGAATGAATCAATGAATGAATGGTGAATACATATGAAACTGTACCATCTGATACTGGAAAACTATAAACTAATATATTTCTATTTGAAATCAAATACAAACCATGTAATTCAGACACAGCCAGATACCAAGTTCCCTAAATTATGAAAGAGAAGCCTTACTATATTTAAAAACCTTAGCCAGGCATGGTAGTGTACGCCTATAATCCCAGCACTTGGGAGCTGAGGCAGGATGACTGCTGCGAGTTCAAGGCCAGCCTGGATATACAGTGAATTCAAGGCCAGCATGAACTATATAGCAAGACCCTGAAGGAAAAGAAACAAAAACACAAAACAAACAAACAAAAACCTCTTATGTTAGGCAATAGATGAATGAGATTAAAACAGTAACAAAAATAGTACTTTTTTGACTTTTTCAAGAGAGAAAACTGGTAAATGAATGGGAACGAGTCTCACAGAAGGGGATAAATTTCAAATCACTTTGCCATCTTAGTATAAGTGAAATTTCATATTAATACATGAAATTGAGATTCAAAGTCTTCATTAAAGTCAAATCTTTATGATCAAAATTTATTAAAAAAAATACTGAATCTTCCAAATATTAAATTCTAGTTCTTTTGTAAGTACTTTTCTAAGACCTTCTGTAATTCTCTAGTTTTCTCATCCAAGAAGGAATAATAACTCCATCTGCCCAACCAGTATAGCCCTTACATTTTATATCAGTGGATGTAGTATCATCAAAAGCCATTTTTACCTTCCAACTGATTCTGCTGGTAGTTATGGAATAATTAAGAGGGGACACATCTATGGGCTGGTTATACTTTTAAATTGTACTTGAATTACTATAAATTAAATATACTTATATAAATTGCTACAATGCCAATTTAAAATAATGTAAAAGGCTGAGAGGACCCATATTTTCAGTTTTACTGAAGTATAACAAGATACAATAAACTACATGTAATGACAATGTATAATTTGATCAATTTTGATATGTATATACAAATTTAACTTTTGAGAATTCTTATCTTCTTCTTTTACTAAAATGTTAAATAGGATTTGTGTTGCCTGAAAAAAATACTTACTTTCATGTAATTCACAATCTTAGCAAGAACTCCAAACTTATATCCAGAGCTTCCTGATAGAGCTTTGAAGTTAAATGATCCGTTGCTATGATCTGGAAATTAAGTTTAAAAAACACAATTTTAACAATTTCATACTGTATGTTATTATGACACTTAAGCAAGGAAGACGATTTGAAATTGGAAGAATATTTGAGTTTTTCATCTAATAAATTCTATCCTATCAAAATTGGGTGAAAAACAAAATCTTTGAGTACATATTAAACTATTTTCTCACTAAGGGTAGGAACAAAGTAAGAAATAATGTAAAAGCATTAAATTATAGCTTTTCATGAGTACTTTTATCTTACTCTTACCTTAAATTTGAGTACATTTTCACTGATACTTAGACATGGGAACATTATAAACCTTAATCTGATCCAGAAGTTTTCCTAGCAGACTTAAAAACACTATAAATGAGTAATTGTTAGTAAAGTCAGAGACAGTGCCCAGAGACTTTTATAGATAATTTGTTTCAGAACATCTATCATTCTGTTGTAGGCAAACACCCTAATGCCATGATAGCATCACAAATGCATTCCATTATTCATAAGCAGGAACAGTAAAAATTAATCATAAATACAAAAATAAAACCTCAAAAGTATATATTCTATCAGCAAGGCGCCAGATCAGATACTATGAATTTCCCATGTGGTTGATCCACAAAGAGAAAGGCTAAATAAAAGGGGAGGAGGAGCCAATCTCTAGCATCAACTTGGTAATAATCATTTAAACAAAAGACTGCATTAGAACAACCACAAGTCAAATGTAACAACTGTCAGAGATCCAAGAGAAGGGCTTCTAGATGGCAACATAATACTCCTTTGAGAACAGTTAGTGAAGAGCCTTTATTGAATATGCTTTGAGACGAAAATGAAACTTCATATCTAACTTTCCCTTAAAAATAATTTTGTTGCTGGACATGGTGATGCAAGCCTGTAATTCTAGCAGTCAGGAGACTTAGGCAGAAGGGATTACCTGGAGTTGGGAGCCCAGCCTGGGCTACATACTAAGTGCCAGGCCAATCTGAATTACATAGGGAGATCCTGTCTTAGAAGGAAAAAAAAAAAAACTTTGTTATAATTTTGACAAAAAACTCACATATAGAAGTCTACTGTTTCCAAAAATAACAATATTATTAAGACTGTCTCGGGAGGTTGAGGTAGGAGGACTGCCTCAAGTTCAAGGCCAGCCTGGGCTACACAGTGAGTTCAAGCCCACCCTGGACTACTTACCAAGACCCTGTCTCAAAAAAAAAAAAAAAAAAACTGTCTTACAGGTGTTCTTTTGTAGTCACTGTTTCAATTATAAATATTATAATATTATGATTCAGTTCAGTTTTCCAGTGCTCAAGACACAAGAGCAATAACAGTAACTAACATTTATTGAACATTTATTATTTGCTAGATACAAAGGTAAATTATTTTCACATTTAATCTCTCCTTAAAACCTATTTACAAGCCGGGCATGGTGGTGCACTCTTGTAATCCCAGTGTTCAGAAGGTTGAGGTAGGAGGACTGCCACAAGTTCGAGACCAGCCTGGGCTACACAGTGAGTTCACTGCCTGCCTGAACTATATTGTCAGACCCTGATTCAAAAAGGGGAAAAAAAAAAAAACAAACCAAACCTCTATCTAAGCAGTATTATTGTCTTCTTGTAAAGTAAGAACATTGAGGGTAGTAAATGACCATGTGCAGATTCAAATGTAGTTGTAAATCCTACGATCTCACCTTGTACAGGATCCATTAACAAGCCTTCACACAATATTGCACTTGAAACCAGCTATGTTGCCAGAGTACAGAAATTCTCAAACATGCATTTCATGTTTCCTTATTTAATTTAGTAAAATACTATTAAGCATATCTGACCCCACTGTATAAACATCTAACTGCAGCTGGGCGTAGTGGTGTACAGCTGTAGTCCCAACACTTGGAAAGCTGAGACAAGAGCATCACAAGGTCAAGGCCGGCCTGGGTTACATGAGCTCAAGGTCAGCCTGAACTACATAGCAATATCCTATCTTAAAAAAAAAAACCTACCTGGGAAGACAATGAAAAAGCAAAAGTTGCCAGGCATGGTGGTGCACACCTCTAATCCCAGCACTTGGGAGGCTGAGGCAGGAGGATC